TCACAGAGACCACTTATTCGGGGAAGCTGAGTTAGGTCAGCGCTGCAGGTGGCGTAATCTAAGTAGTTGACTTAGGCCAGCAACCTTCTTTAATCCCTTGTCAATTATTAAGTACGAGTATTAATAAGTAATTAAGAGAATGATGTGTAGATACATTACCGATGTAAGAAAAATAGAAAAGTACCTACTCGGATTTCAAAAACATTGAACAAATTGAAAGACACTGTTTCACTGCATTTAAATTATATTTCAGTATCTAGTTTTTCATAACGAATGATTCCATATTTTGAAATCGTAAATTTATTATTCTTCCTTGAACAATTCTTTACAAAAAACTACTGCAATGGGCCTTGAAATTTAAAAATATATTCTGCGTTACATGGATAACTTTAAAGTTATTTTTTTTTCTATTTTCAATAATATTTCAGTACTCTTGAGGCAAATATATTTTGTCATGTTTTCTTTTATTTATTTCTACAGCTCCAAAGCTCCTATCGCACGAAAGAAAACAATATCCAAGTTCGGGGTACCTGTTCTGTATTAGCCTAAATCTTCCAATAGTTGTCAACATAGTATAAAGAAACTGTACCAAAACAAAATTTTTGTTCTGCGATGAACAGTTGTCAGAAAACATGTATATATCAGTTACTTCTTCTTTAATGTAGATATTAAGAAAATGGTGTAGCAGACTGGCTACATTATTTTGTCCTTTAGCAGCCAATGTTTCATCATACAAATAAAAACCTTTTCCCAGTACTTCCTACATGAACACAAAAATTATATACCCAAAGTTGGATTTTGTAGACCACTTCTCCACTGGAGGATACAGGAAGGGGCAAATTTTGTTGAAAATCAAATGTCAACACTTCTACACTTGGTCGTTTTGTGTTGAAGCTGTTTTATCTTAAGGGCACCATTACAGTGTATTTTACGTGGTCAAAACATAGGTTTACGATTTTTTACAGAACTTATTTTTCACTGGATGGATTTTAATGAAACTTTGGCAGATTATAGAAAAATGTTTAATGATTGAAATGAGACATTTTCATTTGTCCTGCTATTTATTAAATACTATTAAAAAATATAAAAAAAGTGTTAGTCACAGATGTAGTTCGAAAAACTTTATAGCATTCTACATATTTTTCTGAATATTCTTGCCAAATTTTAATAATCAATGTTGCGTACTTTTTAAGTTCTGTACAAAATACGATTTCATCTAAAATTGATAATTTCACTACGTCCATGTTGTTTTTTAGTTCAGGACCTAAATTATAGATGTCCGATGAAGCAAAAGTAGCGAAAGCTTCGGCGCCGTGTTGCCATATTTTAAAATTGTCTTGAATTTAGACAAAACTATATTATTATGGTTATTTACAATTTACACAAATATAAATTATATATACAGGGAGACTCATTTTTTAACGTTTTCTTATTAAGACGAATTTTTAATAAAATTTGGTGCTTTGTCTAAAACTAAAATCTAAATTAACCAATATTTAAAATAAATGTCTTTATACGAGGAAAAACAAAAGTTTGTATTAAAGATGTAATTTTTTTAATGTATGCTGAGTTTTTTTTTGTAAATAAAGTGTGAATTCGGTAAAATGGGCATGAGTTGGTTATTCAATATGTTAACTATCATGAGAGAAATATTCATCAATGCAATAAAGTGATGCTACTTTGAAGGCCAGTAATGTAATAATATATTTATTTTTATTAGGCTATTAGTGACACCGATATCTTTTTGCTCCAGTTCATGGTTTCAAAAAAAAAATCAGTTAAAATAACACTCATGACTCTTTCATTTACTCTTTAAAAATGTTTTTTATTAGGAAGGATAAAATGAAAAATTTCTAAGTATCCAGTAAAAGCTTTATTTAATTCAATAAATAGGTATGTAAATAAATAACAAAATATTCTTTTCAAATGGCCTCTCTGGCTTTTAGTCGTTTTGGAACATTCCTTTTTTCTAAAAAAAAAACGTTAAATGAGGTTAATTTTGTTAAAAAAAGCGTAAGTTCAAAATCATACAATAAAAATTAAAATATCATATTTTTCTTTTTTAGATTTTTATACCTTTTGGACTACGCACCTCAGAAAATCCATACAGGGGTCTTTTTGTAGAAAATTTAATTTCCTACAAATTGTTCTTTGACAATTTTTTTATAACTTCAACTGTTTTGTTGATGAGAACGAAAATATAATAATTTTTGAAAAAATTGGGCTTTCGAAGCCGACACCGATGAGACGGGTTCAAGTACAAAAAAATGTTAGTGGGCACTTTCAAAGAGTCACTAATATACTACAAATTGAGACTAATCGCAATGGATTACCATGAAATCAAACGGAGCTATATTAATTTAAATTTTAAAAATCATGGTCTATTTGTTATTTAAATGGGAAACATACATCGATCGAAAGGAACCACTTAAAATCAAAATTACGGGCTCAAATTTTAAGGGAAGTTTTTTTTGATAAAATGAACAAAATTTTCATGTGTCAGCGAATCAAAAAAAAATGTTCGTTTTAAATGGAACACCCTAAATACATATATATGCCGACAATCTTTTAGGATGGTAGGAGACGCTAAAATACACAATTTTTGTTCTAAAAATGTATGTCCGAAAACTCTTCGTTTCCAAGATAAAAGTTTTAAATAAAATTCAAATTTTAATGAATATCTCGAAAAATTTTAATTAATTTCAATGAAATTTTTAAAGTTTGTTGTTACCTATTTTAATAAATTATCTTTTGGACCTTTTAGCGTGTATCCAGCGTTATTATATAATTTTATTAGATTTCTGCTGAAAAAGAATATCACCATGTATATTTTTAAATTTTTATAATGGTTTTGATAAAACGTTATAAAATACAACTCTTTGTCTCTTATTTTTTTTTGTTGTATAGCGCCTTTCGTTTTGAGATGTATTTTTAGTTGCTTCAGAGACGTGCATGCAAAAGTTTAGATATTACTTGTTTATCAGAAAGCGAAAAGAAATTCGCAAAAATATAAAGAGACAATAAAGTAGTATTTTTAGTTGTTTTATTCAAAACAAGTATCAACATTGTAAATATATAATAGACGCTATAACTTTTGGTTAAAATTCCCTGTATTTCGGACATGTGTTTATTCAACAAAAATATTTACCCCTACCGCCCTTCGGTTTAGTTTATTTTTGTTTAAACTTAAATTTTAAATTATTAAGATATGAAGCAGTGCATAGGGATCGTACTTCCACATATTCTTTTATCACCCTTTGCATCAACCTACCCTTATCTCAAAAATTTCAATGGTACCCTGCATTTATTGTAAAGTATTATGAAAGAGCACACTTTTAAGTACATCCATATTAAAAAATTACAAAGAATACTTTTTAGAATATTTTAATTTAAAATTTTGGCAAAATATTTTATTTGCTAGGAAAAATCAAGGGAGCTATATGTATGAAAAGAATGTGAAATTTATTGCCTCGATGCACTGCCTCACCCCCAAAAATTCAAGATTCCAATTTAAATTTTACCAAAAATAAAGCCATCCAAAATTTTCAGGTGAACTCGGTATAAAGTTAAAATGACCTAACACCTGATTTCGATAGATTTTTTTGGAGACTTCAATCCACAAACCATATTTTTTTAAATATTGAATTTAAATTATAGTTTAATAATAGTAATAGGTACTTACCACCCAAATTTAGTACACAAAAAAACTACACAGTTAATGTAAAATTAACGAAAAATAATAAAAATATACTGGAAATATAATAAACACTCAAATTAAACTTACGAACACAAATCAAAAATACACATAACTAAAATAAATAAAACAAATAGCCCCTATATATACTTATTTATTTCAATCATTATTTGGAAATAGGGGTAAATATACCTACCTATTTATAATAGATTAGGGAAGGTCAGTGCTACTAACAATAAATTCTTGATTATTATTTAATCGGATTATCCCAAGTACCTGCTGCTACCCTAATTAGACAGCTAAATATTTAATTCACCGTAAACGAGAAAAACCTCGCTAAAGAATTGGTAGACTGCCTAATAATATATTTCAATAAATATGCGGTGTTGACAAATCTTTTTCACCAGACCAACTTATTTGAAAACATAAAATAGGAGTATGTTGCGTATATTATTTAGCTGGCCGATTTTTGCGATATAATGGACAAAATATAAAGGTTAAAGAGTGTAGCTACATCTACGTAGGAAAGGATTAACTAAAATTCACATTTAAATCATTGAATCAAAAACCGGAAGTGCTGTGGCGTCCTTAAATGTCTGTATAAAAAGTTTCGACTTCTTTAATATGCAATTTTTTATCTGTCTCCAACTATGTCTAGTTTGTCACATGTTTGGCATCTGTCCGACTTTGGTTTACCAAAAGACATTTTAAAATTTTCTGTAAAAACTTACTATAATATTCATATTTTACAATAGGCTTGATATTTTGATTTTCATGAAGTAACTGTTCAGGTTTATATTTATGTTGGTACATGTGATGCATTTTGGCAATACTGAGGAGAGGTGATAGTGGTTCAAGTTGTCTTTTAGACTTTAATGTGATTTGCATTTTCGATAACTAAGAATATCTTATCATCAGTGCCTTCAAGTAATTTATTAGGCCTGAATAAATGCTTTCCTCTGTTATCTATAGGAGGAGCTCCATGTCTCATATTTAGGTGCTTCCGCAATCACTCAAGTCTTGCTTTTGTGATTCCATGAAGAGAGAGGAATGCTTTTTTACAAATATTCTGCATCACACCATTGCAGCGAGTCTGAAATAATACCAAGAAGTTAAACTAAACGAATAATTTTATATTGCAAGTAATAAATTACCTTGTAAGTTAATGTTGCATTTTTTTATTTCCATCACCGGAACGTGATTTAGCTCTCTGTACTTCTATCTTAAAAATATTGGCATACAAATATGCATCCTGCAGATCTTTTGATTTCATAGCACAAAAATAACGAAATATTGTTTCACAAGTTTATTGTACAATTTCATCAAAACACTTTAGTTTACAGTGGCAGTTACTACCAATATGTTTTCCAGGTTTATGAATACCTGCAACGTTTATATAAGGCTTGCCCTTAGTTCTTCTAGCTTTTTGTATGTTTCTTTTCCATGATTGTTTACGTACAAGCCCCTTTTTTCCTCGTTGTGGCGTGTTTTCAAGAATTCCAGGTATTTGATCACTTCCATCTTCGGACGTCTTACAACATGATAGGGTCAGTTCCAGTGCCTTGAATTTCCTCATCAGAATCATTTGAAGACGAGTTTGTTGAAAGTGGTCTTTTGAGGTTAGAGTTATGTTTGTTATTAGCCCCACATAATCTTCGTCGCTGTCTGTACCCGTCCCTCCAAAAGGATCATCTTCACTTTCGCTATCAGATAACATTATTTTTTGAATGAAAAACTGATATAATTTAAGAGAGCAGGAACGCGATATCAATAACAACACGTTTATGTAACATTTAAGTTTTAACTGACAGCACTGTGCAAAAACCGTATCTAGGACTTGACCGGTTTATGCAAAGCTTAGACTAATTACCTAGTCTAAGATGCAAAGTATTAGAGCATTATACACCGTAATTTCCACAATTTAAATATTAGAGAGCTGCTTAATGCAATGGAAGATGCAATAATATGATACTAACTCATTTTGCCCAAAAAATGGACATGACCGGTTAATTCATTGGACCCCTAAATTATCTTTTTATACAAACAAAATCAATATTTTAGCAAAAAGCAGTTCAAAACATGAGATTATTAGTCTCGTGTTCTGTGTAGGCGTTGTCACTGTTTCTCAGCGCTACTTTAGGAACAGCACTCTTAATTATAATCCAAAGGTGAATGGTCGAGTGGGGAATCCTGCCTATGGATTAGGATTATTGTTTAATTTATATAAAAAAAATCTCGTCACCGACGGGATTTGAAATCGGGACCTTTGGATCCGAAAGTCACCCACCCCCTCCTAGGTATGATTATTATCGACATTTTTTTTTAATGTTGCGAATGTTAGTCCCAACGACGAAAATATAAATAATGTTGAGTTTAAATTTCAAAAAATGTATTTAAAAGTACAATAAACAATTTAAAAATATACTAAAAATCTACTAAAAATGGTATCAATTTCATGTATTCTATTAGGAAATAAAAAATCTAAATTCTTATATTTTACAGATGCTGAATCGGAAGTTGATCATTTCGAGTCAAATATAAATATGTTACATCCTAAAGAAGAAGAATATCGCCTAATTGTAAAGAAAGTTTTAGACAAAATAATTAAGCATGCTAAAACGAGTGTAACCAATTAATCTTTCTGATATTAAAAACTCCGACTATAGTAACAATCATTCCGATTATCAATCTTCTAAAGACGATATTGGTATAACAAATGAATTTCAAGATACGACAAGACCTACATAACTAATTAAGAAAGAGCGAAACATAATAAGTAAAAACAAAGAGGAAGAGAACGAGTAAGAAAACAAAATGAGTGGAAAGATGTCCAGGCGAAAAAACAACTGAATTTGGGAAATGAATACAAACACAGACACGGAAAGTTGATTGTTACAAAAAGCATAAAAGTTGCATGCAAAAAAAGCTGCAAAATTAAGTGCAGGCAGAAAAGTACGAAGATTGAAAGGCCACAATATTTTTGAGACCTGGGTTACATTCGCTTTAAAAAATATTACAGATGGAGGCAGTTCATGTGAAGATAGGCGAGTACCATATAAAGTAAGAGCGCACAAAATTAAAGAATATATAAAAAATATGGTAAGATCGCATATCAACATGTTTCCAGTGGTACTGTATCGTTACGTGAAAAAAAATTCTACCAGGATGTACTTGGAAGAAGGCCTAAATATTTTAAAACTGTACCGATTTAACAAGGTGTATGTAAATAGTAATTATATTAATATAAATTTAGCCACTGCAAGACAGTACCGTTAAATTTTCAATTCAGAATTCAATGTAGAATTTTATAAGCCAAAAAAAGACCAGTGTCTTCTCTACACAGTTTGCAAAGATGCCGACATCGAATCAAAATCTAATATTCAAGATTTGATATAAATATTTTTAATAAAGAACTTTCTCGGTCTTTAAAGGACCAAGACAACTTGCGGTTGAAGATAAGATGGTGTGTGCTGCTTTAATTAATCTCCAGAAGGTCTTGTTCACTCGACAGTCAGAATTAGAAATTTTTTATTATAAAATAAAAATTGCGACCTATAACTTCACGGTATACGATATGTATAATAATGAAGGAGACTGTTATTTACGGTATGAGGAGGTAACGAAAAGAGATCCCAACGAAATTAGCAGCTGTTAAATTTTTTGCAAAAACAGAAAGTAAATGGGGTGAAAACTGTAAAACTTTATTAAGACAACTGTCGAGGCCAGAATAGGAATCGATTTATTTTTTCAATGGTCGCCTATGCTTCCAATCTATTTGGCTTGAACATAATACACAGATTCCTAGAAATGGGACATGGGAATGCAAAACGAAGGTGACATTAAACATGCTGTTCTAGAAAATACCAAAAAAAAGTAAGGAGCGATTTACACGCCTAACCAACAGATTACTCTTATCAATTTAGCAAAGGTAACTGGTAAACCCGATGTCAAAGAAATGTCTCAAGCGAATTGTTATAGTTATTCGGATATGGTAAAAAATAAAAACGGATGTTAATGGAGCAAATCAGGGTCAATAACATTCCAGGATTGTATTGGTCTCATAAAGAACATTAAATTCAGTTTAAACACGAATCTAATCAAAATCCTAAATTTATAAATTTGAAAAAGGTATGTGCAGTTTAATACAAGTTTCTCCATCATTCAGACTTTATATCGCCCATTGATGTTAAGAAGCTAACAGTTTGATTGGAATTGTACAAAGGTGATGAACCTGCAACACCGAAAATGTTTCACAATTTTTATTTTTCGCTTAAGCCAAACTAGACAACCCCTGTTAAAAAAAGTAGGAAACGTCTTCAACTTGAAGATTCAGACCTCGGTAGTAGCACCAATAAAGGTGACTCTGAATGATTGTTTTTGTTATAAATTATTTGCATTTTTGTAATAAAAAATGTACCAAAAACTGTCGCATCTCATACTTTTGAAAATTAAGTGCGACGAAAAGTGTAGTAACAATGTTAAAAAATATAAAATAGGAAGATTTTTTTAAAATCATAATATACTTTGATTTCTATACTTTCTCATAACATACTTAACAACTTTGGTGTAAATCCTTAAGATGAATTACTATTTTAACACTCATTTTGTCCATTTAAACCAAATTGGCTTACTACAGTTTTCCTTGCATAAGTCGATATATACCTACATTAAGAAACAGAGTTTCTCCAGTAAAATGAGTAAAGAATATTTAAAGTCGATCTGTTTTTCATAAAACATTGATCTGTTTTTCTGCATCTGTTTTCTGTAACGTGCCTATTTTCTCTATAAAAAAGTCCGTATTTTATTTTAAAATATTGTTTTGAGGACCAAAGAAAATAATGTGTTCTTCATTTTTGATTCTCTCTAGATTTGTTACAAAAAAAAATCTATAAAATAATATATATCATTTTATTTTTTATAAATCAGCCATGTATCTCAATCAACCGTTCATGCACAATTGGAGGTAGGCAGATAGCAGGCAGTCGATTAGAGTTGGCACTGCATGGGTTCTCTATAAAGAAACAGCTGACGATCGCTCATGGCCCACTCCTATGTATATAAATATAAATATTTGAAGCAAAAATGTTTATAGAATGATTGGTTTGGCGTGTATAAAATCTAATGTCCAGACAAATTAGAGATAAAGGTCCAATTAAATTTAAAATTTATAAATTTATTATTTAGAATAAATACTAATTATCTTAAATTACCCTGTTTTATTTCAATTCAAAGGTGCCGTTTAATAGTAGTCAATCTTAAACAACAACAACAACAACAACAACAACAACAACAACAACAACAACAACAACAACAACAACAACAACAACAACAACAACAACAACAACAACAACAACAACAACAAAAACAACAACAACAACAAAAATATATATATATATATATACAGGGTGTTCATTAAGGATTACTCCATAATTTCTCAATTTGGTAATGTTAAATTAAATGTCAGAATTAGTCTTACATACAAGCAACAGAGTTTTGAGTGACAAAATTCGTTACTTTTATACAATGCCGCGATATAACTTTTTCTCACATAGTAAAATGACCGATATGATATAAATTTACGCCCAACAAGGTTTTAGTGCACGCGCTTCAGCAAGAAATTACAGATTGGTATCCTAATCGTAGACAGCCCAACAGAAAATTGTTTTCATGTATTTTCTTTAGATCAAGAGAAACCAGAATTTTTCGCCCAAAAGGAGTCAATAAACGACCTATGGTTTAAGATTTACAGCAGGAGGAAGAGGTATTAAATTTTGTTGAAGACGACCCAGCAACAAGTATCCGTCGTATATCTGCCAATGTTGGTTTATGTCAGGGTACTGTGCCTAACATTTTACATGAACAACAATTATACCCGTACCATTTAACTCCAGTCCAAAATCTACTGCCAGATGATCTTTCAGCGAAAATAAATTTTAGTCAGCTTGTCTTAAATAAAAATAGACAAAATCAATTTTTTCTAAATAAAATTTTATTCATTGATGAGGTAACATTTACGAGAAGACTCATACATGGGCTATAGAAAATCCAAACAGTACGAGAGTGCGGCACTTTCAGCATGAATTTAAATTAAATATTTTTTTTTTGTATAGTCGAAGATAACCTTATAGGACCTTTGGAACTTCCAGCAAAAATTACTGCAAATAATTACTTACATTTCCTAGAGTACAACTTATTTGATCTGCTAGATGATTTTCTTTTAAATATTAGAGTTGGTATGTGATATTTACAAAATGGCGCCCCTGCCCATTATTCCATAGCAGTACAAAATCATTTAAATAACGTATTTCCATATCAATGGATTGGACGAGGAAGTGAACATCCATGGCCTGCACGTAGTCCAGATTTAAACCCGCTGGATTTTTATTTATGGGGTTATATTAAGACTCTGTTTATTGGGGCAAAAAAATAGTAATAGCGGCTAATGTTATTCGAAAAGACCATTCATTCAAAAAAAAGTCTGTGGTCTGCTTTAAGTGAACACATGTTTGTTAACCTCGTTCTCAAAAAAGTGACAGAAATAAGATATTTCAACGAAAAATTTAAGTTAAAAGTGCATTCCTGTGATAAATGATTGTGCCATAAGTTCAAAACTAGTAAAACTGTATGTATCTATGTGCCTATTTTCATAAAATTTCCTTTGGAAACTAAAATTTACCGATATTGAAATAGTTTTTTGGTTTAAACTTACCCTGATAA